ACATTTTCAGTGACTGAAATCTTCTATTAGATTCCTCTAAAGAAATTTCTCTTCACAGAAAATGTTTACCAAATTTGAGCTGGTGATCTAACCTCCTTTGAAATATTATTTTACCCAAGGCCCAAAGTAGTACCCTCAATGTTCATTTTGGTAACACTTTACCCAAGCCACCTTCATTCTTTACTTGAAGAGGAATCCAATGGTTACTTAACCTCTGTTAGGAACAGAGACTGCCTTTAATCATCTGATTAAATTTTGCCTTATGATGTTTACATTTAAAAAATTAACATCAAAAATTTCCAAACTGGCTATGCTGTCACAAACTTCAATTAACCTTTGAAATTTAAACTTCTCACATAAATTAAATTAGTTAAAATGTTTGAATTAATTGATGTAGGCCAAACCTGCCAACCAACAATAATAAAAGAATGAATAAAAGAATGATGGGACGAGTATGATCTGGGGAAGTTTACATCTTCCAAATACTTTGTAAACAAAGATTACCTGGCTCTCAGGAACTCCTATAAAATAAATGTCCAATTAGAAGAACTTCATGTGTTTTACTATTATATTATCCAAGATGACAGTCATTATTCAAGCAACAAATTGCTTCACAAGATTGTCCATGTGAGTAGATACACATTGTCCAAGATATTGAAAGAGCATTGATGAGTAATATTAAACATGGTCAAAGATGCTTCCAGAGCATGTCCTGCCTGCCAATGGACTACCTAGGCAGAATGCGAAGCTGGGACACAGGCAGGAACCCAAACCTCCAGGACTTTAAGCACAAGTGGGCTGCATAAATTCTGCATTTTCTGCTTAATGTTTATTCTCTGGTAGATTGGGCCTTTTATTTGATGAAGGAGAGTTCCTAGTGTAATGGCAGAAAGAAATTTTTTTTAACTTTGCGTTCTCAACTTGGGAAATTAAGCAAAACTGACACTTGGCCCTCCTTCCAAAAATGACTGAGCATTCCAAATACCACACTTACAAAAAAAGACACTTTGCACCTTGAAATGAAACCCATAAAAGGTCATTCTACCTGGTTCTGGTGCACAAAATAAGTTAAATTATGCATGTTTCTTAGAATTGGATACAAGATGAAAGGTTGGTTGAGTATGGGACCAGGAGGCCACCTTAGCACTGCAACCATCTACTGATTTTATATATTGACATGGTCAGAATTTTCCACAGTATATTTTCAAGGATGCAAATTCTATGAAAATTCTGTTTTTTAAAAAGTAGGCCGGGCGCGGTGGCTCAAGCCTGTAATCCCAGCACTTTGGAAGGCCGAGGCGGGTGGATCACGAGGTCGAGATCAAGACCATCCTGGTCAATATGGTGAAACCCCGTCTCTACTAAAAATATGAAAAATTAGCTGGGCATGGTGGCACGTGCCTGTAATCCCAGCTACTCAGGAGGGTGAGGCAGGAGAATTGCCTGAACCCAGGAGGTGGAGGTTGCGGTGACCAGAGATCGTGCCACTGCACTCCAGCCTGGGTAACAAGAGCGAAACTTTGTCTCAAAAAAAGTAGAAGACTTACAGGACTTGAAAGTGCTATCAACTAGATTCTACTTTTAAGGATTCAAAATTCCCACTGATGAATTCAATGATCCAAGACATTCTGCAGGAAGGAAGCCTATTTCACTATTTCCCAGAAAGTCCTCAAATTCACAACCCCATGGAATCTACTTCTTTCGGAACTCTGATTAACAAACTACAGAAATACATTTCTCTGGATATTTTGATGTATGTTTATCATTTTCCCTCACAATGAAGAAGGGAGGATTAACATTTATTCAATTTCAACTACATTAAAGGCATTGTACAATGACAGTTTACATATTTTTGCATATATTATGTCACTCTCAACCTAAATATTTCTTTAATCTCATACTTAAGTTCTTTTCCACAAACTAATATATGTCTGATCCTGAGAGGATTCCTTTTTTTCCTTCCAAATGGGACAAAGAACCTCGATGAGTATGGCAAGATTAAATGTTTCACATATTTACTGTATTAGTCCATTTTCATGCTGCTGATAAAGACATATCTGAGGCTGGGCAAATTACAAAAGGAAGAGGTTTAACACCAACTTACAGTTCCATGTGCCTGGGGACGACTCAAAATCAGGGCAGAAGGCAAAGAGGAGCAAGTCATGTCTTACATAGATGGTAACAGGCAAAGAAAAATAAAAAGAGCTTATGCAGGAGAACTCCCCCTTATAATACCATCAGATCTAGTGAGAACCACTCACCACCACAAGAATTCCATGTGAAAGACCTGCCCTTATGATCCAGTTATGTTCCACCAGGTCTCTCCCACAATATGTGGAGATTCACAATGGGATTTGGATGGGAACACAGCCAAACCATATCATTCAACCCCTGGCTTCTCCCAAATCTCATGTCCTCACATTTCAAAACAAATCACGCCTTCCCAATAGTCCCCCAAAATCTTAAGTCATTTCGACACTAACTCAAAAGTCCACAATCCAAGTGTCATCTGAGACAAGGCAAGTCCCTTTCACCTATGATCCTGTAAAATGAAAAGCAGATTAGTTACTTCATAGATACAATGTGAGTAAATGCATTGGGTAAATACATGCATTCCAAATGGGAGAAATTGGCCAAAACCAAGGGGATACAGGCCCCATGGAAGTTCTAAATCCAGTTGGGCAGTCATATCTTAAAACTCCAAGCTGATCTCCTTTGACTCTATGTCTCACATTCAGGTCATGCTGATGAAAGAGGTGAGTTTCCATGGTCTTGGGCAGTACTACCCCTGTGACTTTGCAGGGTATATCCTCCCTCCCAGCTTCTTTCATGGGCTGACCTTGGGTGTCTGTGGTTTTTCCAGGTGCACAGTGCAAGCTGTCAATGGATCTACCATTCAGGGTCTGGAGAACAGTGGTGCCCCTCCTCTCACAGCTCCGCTAGGCAGTGCCCCAATGGTCTGTGTGATGGCTTGGACCCCACATTTCCCTTCTACACTACCCTAGCAGCAATGAGGGTACCCTCCTCCCACAGGAATTTCTGCCTGGGCATCCAGGAGTTTCCAGACATCTGAAATCTATGCAGAGTTTCCCAAACCTCAGTTCCTGACTTCTGTGCATTCAGAGGCCAAACACCATGTAGAAGCTTCCAAAGCTTGAGGTTTGTACCCCCTGAAGCCATGACTCAAGCTCTGTGTTGGCCCTTTTCAGACATGGCTGGAGTGGCTGGGAATCAGGGCACCAAGACCCTAGGCTGCATACAACATGGGGATCCTGGGCCCAGCCCAAAAAGCCATTTTTAATCCCAGGCCTCGGGGTCTGTGATGGGAGGGGCTGCCATGAAGGCTTCTGACATGGCCTGGAGACAATTTTTCTCATTGTCTTTGGGATTAACATTCAGCTCCTTATGCAAATATACAAATTTCTGCAGTTGGCTTGAATTTCTCCCCCCAGAATGTGATTTTTTTTTCTATTGCATTGTCAGGCTGCAAATTTTCCAAACTCTTATGCTCTACTTCCCTTATAAAACTGAATGCCAGAACTTAAAGTATAATAAAAAATAAAAAATAAAAAACTGAATGCCTTTAAGTCATCTCTTGAATTCTTTGATGCTTAGAAATTTATTCCACCAGATACCCTAAATCATCTCTCTCAAGTTCAAGATTCCACAGATTTTTAGGGCAAGGCCAAAATGCCACCAGTCTTTTCACTAAAACATAACAAGACTGACCTTTACTTCAGTTTCTAACAAGTTTCTCATCTCCATTTGAGACCACATCAGCTTGGATTTCATTGTTCATATCATTATTGGCACTTTTGTAAAAGCCATTCAACAAGTCCCTAGGGAGTTCCAAACTTTCCCACATTTTCTATCTTCTTCTGACCCTCCAAGCTTCCATTCTCTGCTTGTTACCCAATTCCAAAGTCACTTTTACATTTTCAGGTATCTACAGTAGCGCCCCACCCTACTAGTGCAAATATATTGCATTAGTCCCTTTTTACACTGCTGATAAAGACATACCTGAGGCTGTACAATTTAAAAAAGAAAGACATCCAACAGACTTAACGTACCATGTGGCTGGGGAAGCCTCACAGTGATGGCAGAAGGCAAGGAGGAGCAAGTCATGTCTTACATGAATGACAGCAGGCAAGGAAAAAAAGAGCTTGTGCAGGGGATCTCCTCCTTATAAAGCCATCAGAACTCATGAGACCTGTCCACCACCATAAGAACTCCATGGAGAAGACCAGTACCCACGATCCCGTTACCTTCCACCAGGTCCCTCCCAAAACGTGGGAATTCAAGATGAGATTTGGGTGGGGACAGAGCCAAACCATATCATGCCTCAACTTAATTTCAAATTCCAGAGTTAGTAGATATGAGAGCATTGGGGTACATGAGTACATGAGAGTTTTTGATGCTGTGACCCATGGCTGATATTTCAAAAGTGATTCCATGAATAAAAGCATCCTACATAAAATTCTGTTTTTTGATAATTTTCTCTGTAAAAACTTTCAAGAAAATTGAGTATAAAAACTTCCTTAAAAACATGATTTTGAATTTTCTTCAATGTAACAGTCTCACTTCTAATGGTACAAAATAGCATCTTGAAGACATGGAAGCAATATATGACACATTACTCATTATATTCCCTATTAAGAGATAACATGGTTGTTATGTCATACAGTAGGGAAAAGACTATTTGAGTATAAATCCCAGCCACAACAGGTATTGATTATTTTACTTTTATCAAATTACTTAAACATATAATGACTGAATCTTCCACATCTAGGAAAATGGAGGAAATATTACCTATTTTATGTGGTTGCTATGAAGATTAAATAATTAAGGCACACAGAATAACTTGTTGGCATGTTATATGTTAGCTTTTACTTATTTTATATTATTCTAATCAATGGCAGTAAGATGATAACCCATACTATGAGCCATAAAACATTTTAAAAATTTTAATTAATATTGATCATACCCATCCCAGATTCTCAATGGCAAAAAATGAGAAAAATGCTCCCACTATGGATAAGAGCTCAACAACATCGAACATCCTGGAAATAGATGGAGTCCCTTTGTTGCTATCATCAAAAGAAATGTGGGATGAAATATATAATTTCCCAGCCAGGCCTGACGATCTTATTCTGGCAACTTACCCAAAGTCAGGTAAGACTATCAAAACACAAAAATATTCAATATTTGCATGTGAAATTATTGCATAATCTGTATTGATCAATGAAGCATGAGTGGGATTTCAAGAGAAAAAATTCCTATTATGGTGATCTGTTCTTTGATGTTGCAGGACATTTAGCATTCGTGATCCTTAGGGTAACAATTTCCAATAGCACTCTCTCAAGATAAGAGAAAAGATTTCTAGGCTGTTGGTGGGAGTGTAAATTAGTTCAACCATTGTGGAAGACAGTGTGGTGATTCCTAAAGGACCTAGAAATAGAAATTCCATTTGACCCAGCAATCCCATTACTGGGTATATATCCAAAGGATTATAAATAGTTCTACTATAAGAACACGTGCACACGAATGTTCATTGCAGCACTGTTTACGATAGCAAAGACCTGGAACCAACCCAAATGCCCACTGATGATAGACTGGACAGGGAAAATGTGGCACATATACACCATGGAATATTATGCAGCCATCAAAAACAATGATTTCATGTCCTTTGTAGGGACATGGATGAATCTGTAAACCATCATTCTTAGCAAATTGACACAAGAGCAAAAAATCAAATACCACATGTTCTCACTCATAGGTGGGTGTTGAACAATGAGAACACATGGACACAGGGAGGGGAGCACTACACACTGGGGTCTATTGGGGGGAAATAGGGGAGGTACAGTGGGGGGTGGGGAGTTGGAGAGAGATAGCATGGGAATAAATGCCAGATACAGGTGAAGGGGAGGAAGGCAGCAAATCACACTGCCACGTGTGTACCTATGCAACTATCTTGCATGTTCTTCAAATGTACCCCAAAACCTAAAATGCAATTTAAAAAAAAGAAATAGGGCAGATAATGCCCCCATTCCAGAACCAATAATACACATCAAATATAAGGTCAATAGATTGAAAGACATACGACTTTTTTAAACATCATCCCTCACTCAGGGAAGCCTTCTATAAACATGTCATACTCTAGATATTAATCTATTATTCCGGTTATTAAACAGAAATTGATTTTCTAGTCCTCTCAAGTTCTTAGGGGATGTCAATCATGGATTTTCTGCTCTGTACCAAATAAGTCTTATTCAGAGAAGCACAAGTATTGACCTTGATTTAAAATGCCTTAGATTTCTAATTCTTCTCTAAGAATTCCTAGACTGAAATACAACTTAGTAACAATGAGCACATCTGATGCCCAGAACTCACTTGTGATAGGCCATTTTCCATGAGAAGGAACCACAGCTATTAGGAGAATTGATGATCCCCCTCTTTGGATTAGAATATGCAAGGTTAATGTACTACATCTTCTTTTTGAAAGAATAAGTGAACAGTATATATTCCCAGAATTGTTTGTTTTTATTAAATGTCTGTAAAAATAAAGCACACATAATAACCAGAAAAACATTAATGGGGTCATGTAGACGGATACAAGAACCAAAGTGAATGCGCTTACAATGGACACATTTGGGACAGTTTGAGCATCCAAAAGAATGATCTCTAACTGACTGGGAGAACATTAAATAAAAACCTCCTGATCAGCTATGCTGAAAGGACAAGATTGGATGTGTACTCTAGCCATAATAAAAAGGAAAACTGGATAAAATATACAAAACCGCTGGTTTCTGACATTGGATGACAAGTGTCTCAGTCTTCAGTCTGAAGATGCTTTCTGAATAGGGTTTAGTTACATGGAGCAAAAGAAAAAGTCATAGCAAACACATTGAGTTCAGGAGCCAGATATTAAAATTCTGAGAGGTTGAAGTGGCCACAATTTGCAGGGAAGAGTACCAGAGAAAAGGAAATGATACAAATAAATATCTTTAGATATCTTTAGAGAGAACCCTTTTAGTCTATTGTTGAATGGTAGACTGCACTTGCATAGAGCCCAGATCCATGAAATCAGGCAAGGAACTATCAGAAAACCATTAGCCATATAATTTCTAGAGATTATACAAGGCTGAGAGACTTTTGTGCTCCAATCAGCATATGATGGGCAGAGTTTTTGTACCCATGACATGAGTCCTCTATTATTACATCTGTGGTTATTTCATATCACATGCCCAAATGGATTTTACAGCTGCTATTAAAATAGCTAATCAGCTGATAGTAAAACAGGGAGGTTGTCTTGGGCTATCTGGATGAACCCAGTGGAATCATGTGAGGTCTTCAATGCAAAAGATAAAGTCAGAGAGATGCGGCAGAGGAGAACGTCTGAGAAATTTAAAGCGTAGTAAAAGTTCAATGTGTGATTATAGACTTAAAGATGAAGAGAGAAAGTATCAATCAAACAGTTAGCTCAATACTACAGCCACAAGGAACTGAATTCTGTTGACATCTAGAAGCTTGGCAAAACAACCTGAAGACCCAGATGAAAATGGCAGCCCTAGCTGATACCTTGATTTTAGCCTAGTCATACCCTAAACAGAGGACCAGCCATGTTATGCACAACTTCTAACCTACAGAAAATGTGACCTAATATTCAGTTGTTGTTTTAGCTTATTAAGTTTGTGATTATTTGTTACCACAAACTTTTCAACCTATAATTCCATATACACAGTAAAAAATCACCTTTTTTAATATTACTTAAAATGAGGGTCAAATGAAGACTTTTTCTCAGACAGCAAAAGCTAAGAGAATGTGTTGCCAGCATAGCTGTATTAAAAATAAATAAATAAAATGTTATATTAAAGAAAATTTCTTAAAGGATAGTTGATCATTTAAAGCAAAATTTAAAACAATGTGTTACAGAGCTCATAACATAAGTGCAAGTAAAATGTATGACCAAAATAAGGTTTGGAACAGAAAAGATAATAAAAATACATTGTTGGAAAGTTTTAACTAACTCATGAAATAACATAATATTAGTTCAACATACACTAGGATAAGATAGAGATGCATTCTATAAACCCTAGAGTACTTGTTAGAAAAATAAAACATACTGACACAAGAACAGAAAATCAAACACCTCATGTCCTCACTCACAGGCGGGTGTTGAACGATGAGAACACGTGGACACAGGGAGGGGAGCATCACACAATGGGGTCTGTCGGGGGGAAACGGGAGGGACAGTGGGGGTGGGGAGTTGGGGAGAGATAGCATGGGGAGAAATGACAGATACAGGTGATGGGGAGGAAGGCAGCAAATCACACTGCCATGTGTGTACCTATGCAACAATCTTGCCTGTTCTTCACATGTACTCCAAAACCTAAAATGCAATAAAAAAATAAAATAAAATAAAATAAGGGGAAAAAAACATAAGAGGTATTGCCAGAAATGCCAAATAGAATTCACAAAAACAGTGAATCCAAGAGTCAGGAAAAGGCTAACAAAGGAATAAAGATGGAAATATATTCAATAAATAACAAGGTGGTAGATTTACAGCCAATTATGCAGATAATTGTAAAATAGTTCCCAATTGTTAGCAAAAGGTACGTTCCTGCAACCACATTGAATGCCTGAAATTAGATTGCACCATTTTATACACTACGTTTTATACATACTTATTACGAAATTTAGTTATAAATTAGAAACGGTAAGAGATTAAAAATAAATAATAAAATATAATCTTTATAGAAAAATGCAACACTACTCTTGCACTTTAGGACCATTATTACATAAAAATAAGGGTTGCTCAAGAATCCAAGCCCTACAATACCATGAGAGTCAATCTAATTAATACTAGATAGCTACTAAGCAAATAATGAGCAGGTGACATAGTAACCAGACAAAGAAATGACTCACATCCCAGAAGGGATGGAGAGGGTGGCCCAAGATTTCATCATGCTACTCAGACCAATATGCAATTTAAAAACTATGAATTATTTAGTTCTGGAATTTTCCATGTTGTTTTCAGACCACAATTAGCCACAGATAAACCACAGAACACAAAACTGTGAATAAATGAGAACTATTTTATTAAATAAAATTTTATAAGCAACCCAAATTAGAGTGTACTTTACACATAAAGCTGTGATAGGCTGAAAGTAAAAGAATAGGAAAATGTATATCATGCAAATAATAAAGATAAACTAGCTAGAATAACTATATTATAAGGAAACAAGAATTTTACTGTGGATAAGGAGAAATATTTCAAAATGATAAAAAGGTTAATTCATCAAGACAAAATATTCCTGCATGTGTATATACTTAATAAGAGGGCTTCCAAATACATAAAGCAAATATGTGAAAAAAGGAGAAATAGACAAATTCACAATTATAATTAGAAATTTTAGTACTCATCATTCAATAATTGCTAGAACAAGTAGTGAAAAAAGCACAAATTTAGAAAACCTTAACCATATTATCAGCCAGCTTGACTTAAAAATATTTTTAGAACACTCTCAACAGTACCAGAACCTACATTCTTTTCAAGTGCACATAAAACATTAAAAAATATAAACCATAAGATGGGTTTTAAATAAAAATTCTCAAATAAATCTAAAATATTCAAAATTTATACAGAACGCGTTATTTGAATGCAAGTGGAATTAAAGTAGAAATCAGCAACAGAAAGATACCCACAAATATTTAGAAACTAAGTAATATAATTTGAAATAACATAAAACTATTAAAAGCATTAGAAAAGACTATACATGGAGTGATAACAAAAACAGCATATTAAAATTTGTGAGAAGCAATTAAAGTAGCACTTGAAGAGAGGTGGTTTTTTTTTTTTTTTTTTGTACTTTAACTTCCGGGGTACATGTGCAGATTTTGCAGGATTGTTGCATAGTTACACACATGCCATGGTGGTTTGTTGTCTCCATCCCCCGGTCACCTACATCAGCCATTTCTTCTAGTGTTTTCCCTCCCCAACCACCCAGCCCCTCCCTGTCCTTCTCCTAGCCCCCCCGCCTCTATGTGTGACGTTCCCCTCCCTGTTTCCATGTGTTCTCACTGTTCAACATCCACCTATGCGTGAGAATATGTGGTGTTTGGCTTTCTGTTCTTGTGTCAGTTTGCTGAGAATGATGGTTTCCAGATTCATC